AAAAGTCTAAATGCTCTAATTCTTCTTTTCTTTCTCTAATTTATAAAACAAACCATAGGAGACTAGGAGAGAGTAAAGGTATAGGTATGCTTTTTTAGTTTTTTCATCTGCACCTTCAATCGTTCCTTTTGTTTCCTTTTAGCCAAACAATGCCTAAAAGACATTTGGGTGAAGTAAAGTATGCTCTTTTTCTGGAGCAAACAAAAGTTGGTTCATAGAAATATTCTCCAACATGGGCAAGCCGCAAAACATTTGTTCAACCTGTACACATGAAGGAAGAATCAATTGCACATATTTTTCTGGAGTGCATCATATATGCGGGTGTTTGGTTAGAGGTTCTAAGGTGGTGGCACGCCCAAGTTCCGTTGCTTGGCCTCTTTGAGTTAAAGCACTTCATTTTAATTTTTGCTCCTTTGAAACATGCCCACCAAACCTCTTTTATTCTTTTGGGTAACCAACATCCAACGATCGAAAGAGTCCTTTTTGGTTCTTCACCTTTTTCAAACCATCTTTACTCTCCTCCTGGTCATGATGCATTGAGTTGCTTAGAGCTCATGTTTCATTCTAGTACTTAATTATACTTCACAGTTGAAACATACTTTCATTCTCTTTTATAAACTCTACCATTCAGCTTAAATTTAGATAAAAGTGTTTTTCATTAGTCAACTCCAATGCACACGTGCATAACGAATTCATTCTACTTTGAAGTCATCTTCCATAGCATTCTCCAATTTCTTTTGAAGAGTGTTAGGGTTAACTCTTACAATTTTCCCCAAATAATCAAATTGGTTATAATATTCAATAGGTAATCCCGAGATTCTGACCCAAACATTGCCCTTATTTCCTTCCAATGCAAAATGTTTTTTTTCCTATCCAATGGGTCTATAGTATATATATACTACTACTACTAAAATCTTATTTATATGTCTCTTTTTTTTCACCACCTATTTTTTTTTGTTAATTTATTTTATAAACTAACATATATATTGCAATACGAGGACAGATGTGAAATATTATTGATAACATTAAAATATAGGTCAAAAGCATATACATGTTCTCCTTGCAAGTAATGGTGTAATATATATATAGACGGAAGGCAAACATTGTTAGTATTTTTGACAGGTGGGACTAAATTGCACCCAAAAATTAAAGTAAGACTAAATTGAAATTTTAAAATATTATAAGGGACCAAATTAGGATTTTAGCCTAGAAAATTTGAAAAATATTTAATACTTTATTTCATTAATTCAAATCAATATATAAAATACCTTTATGATTATTCATAATAATTTGAATTAATGAAACAAAGTATCAAATATTTTTTATTTTTTTTTTTAAATTTACAAACTTGATCTATGCATTAAGAACTTTAAATTCAACGGTTGAATTATTAAAATTTGATATAAAACATGAGTTATTAAATAAAGTAAATCTATATAGACTTATTCATGAAGTAAGTGGATCTCTCTCTCTCTCTCTCTCTCTCTATTAAAGTGGGACTAAATTGACACTAATAAATAATATAAGGGATGAAAAATGTGTTTTTACCTTTTTTATTTTAATCTAATGATTATTATTAATTATTCTTATGTTTTTATATTAATAAGTGTTCTCATTTGAATCGTTCTATATATGTGTGTGTGTATATATATATATATATATATAAAAGGAGGATCTATTTATCCTAGGAATAAGTTTTAGATTTATTTTGTTTAATAACTCATGTTATACATCAAATTTTAACGATTTAACCGTTAAATTTAAAGTTTATAATGTATAGATTAAGTATATAATTTTTAAAAATTGACTAAAACCCTAATTTAGTTCCTTATAATATTTTAAAGTTTCAATTTAGTCTCACCTATTAAAAATGTTAGCAATGTTTGCCTTCCGTCTAAATTTCTCAAACGTCATTCAGGAGTGTCCATGTGATTGAGAATCACGGTATGATTGAGAATAACGGGCGTGATTCTCATGCTCTTACTTAGTATATTTTTTTATGTGATTAACACCGTGAGAATCACGGACGTGATTGAGAATCACGGGCGTGATTCTCACGACTCTTAAATGACGTTTGAGAAACTTAGACGGAAGGCAAACATTGTTAGTATTTTTGACAGGTGGGACTAAATTGCACCCAAAAATTAAAGTAAGACTAAATTGAAATTTTAAAATATTATAAGGGACCAAATTAGGATTTTAGCCTAGAAAATTTGAAAAATATTTAATACTTTATTTCATTAATTCAAATCAATATATAAAATACCTTTATGATTATTCATAATAATTTGAATTAATGAAACAAAGTATCAAATATTTTTTATTTTTTTTTTTAAATTTACAAACTTGATCTATGCATTAAGAACTTTAAATTCAACGGTTGAATTATTAAAATTTGATATAAAACATGAGTTATTAAATAAAGTAAATCTATATAGACTTATTCATGAAGTAAGTGGATCTCTCTCTCTCTCTCTCTCTCTCT